CAAACCTTATTTATTTTAAAGACAATAAGTGTATAGTGTCCGGTAATTTTAACTTTGTATTTAAAAATACAAAGTTCAAAATTCAACATTAAATTGTTCTTAACGTGTAAATGCACGAGTAACAAGGATAATAGTACTTTTTTTGCTGATAATACTTAACTTAAACATCAACAGCATTTTGAATACAGACAGTTACTTGTAATAGGGCATTTGCTACCGACCAATCATTTTCATTTAATGAGGTGGACAAGAAATATAAGATGAAAGGGGAACCTTATAGAAAAACTTTGTTTAGGTTGGTTGCCAATTTCATTGGTTGTATTATTGTTTTTGCAGTCTACACTACGCTATGTAAAATGTGCATTTATCAACTTAATTTTAAACTGATTAAAAACTTTTTTAACACTTTTTACTCATATTTGAGCGATCATTTCTCTGTGTTAATAATCTTTTAATTTCATCTTGAACCGTGAAGCACTTTGTAAAGTCTGTTTTGATATTCAATATAAATTATTCATTGATCATCCTTCTGATGTTTAAAATGGTGATTGAATCTTGCCATGATAATGGTTTGCAGGTACACGTGATGAATTAGTGGTGCAGGTGCTATAAATAGCCACAGCCATGCCTAATGACAGCTGTTCTTGGGCTGTTGGAGAACCTCGCTCATGCGACACAATCTGTTGAATTGCATTTTTTCTTCTGTGCTGTTCTCATTGACAGGTCTAACGAGTGGTGGAGTGGTAACAACTATTGATATGCAAACTTGTTTCTACGTCCATTTATGGCTAAGTGTGGGAGTGGAAATGAGGCTTGTGCTCACAGTTTTATAGTGACTGAGATTTATAAGCCAAAACCGTGCATTTGTGTGGCTTTATAAATCCTAATGTGTTTGCATATTTCTGTCTTTGTGCACAGTTTGAGTTGTGAATCTACAAAGTTGTATGCATCTAATACCTGATATGATATATAATGTTGTTGCTGCATATTTACCAAAAAGAGCACTTTCCTTTACTGCCTTATTTGTAATGGATGTTCAACTTTAGTGTCTTTTTTTGGAGAATATTTTAATTACACATTGTCACCTTGTCAAAATATAGATTAAATGAAACATTTCCCAAAAGACATAGCATAGTATTGTCTGCAGATCTTCTGTCTCCAACAATCATCACCAATCAGAGTGGACTAATACCTGAAAGCAAACTAGATGACTATATATGTATTTTATCAACTTGGTGCTTCTCTCAAGTGAAGAGGATATTGCACACTGAATCATACTGTACACTCAGGGCCATGTCAAACAGTAAATCATTACACCGTATCTCATTTTGTATCTTGTGGTGCTGTGTCAGGTGCTGTGTACTACAGGATTTACAGTCACCATAGTGTCTTCCTCTAAATGAAGTGTTGCCATCCTGTGCTGGTCAGCGTCAGATGCCTGCTGCTCAGCCACCTGCCACACCATCACCAAATCCTGTGCATCATGATGGTGCTGACCAAAGCAAGCCAAAACCGTCAACACACACTGTTCATGTCAACCAAATATGAGTACACACAAGGGCATGATCAGATGGCATAACACAAATGTGGCAAACATATTGGAAAACATGAGACGGCTGTGGTCACCTTTCTCAATGTACGAAAAAACAAAGTGATGAGAGAAATTGTGCATATTCCATATTATAGCTGTCTCTGTTCTATTGTAGACTACGTGTCAGCAATATGGGGTTATAAAAGGTAAACTTGCCCATAATACTGCAAGTAGATTCTTTGTGGGTGTTCAAACTGGCACCTATCTTAGCAGTTAGTGAAGATGTGAGGTGAATTTCACTAACTGTATGAGTTAGGCAGACTAGCAAATAAAACTTGAACTATTCAATTCAATTCAATTCAATTCAATTTTATTTGTATAGCGCCAATTCATAACAGAAGTTATCTCAGGACACTTTTCAAATAGAGCAGGTCTAGACCGAACTCTTTATAACATTATTTACAGAGACCCAACAGTACCACCATGAGCAAGACCTTGGCTACAAGGGCAAGGACAAACTGCCTGTTAAAAGGCAGAAACCTAGGACAGATCCTTCGGCTCTAGGTGGGTGGTCGTCTGTCTAGCCAAACCTTATACAGTTACTATATTGCAACCTGTTCGAGGCTAATGGCCAAGGGCTTACTTGAAATTGTCTGTATTAGTGCTAAGGGTGGGTGGGTAGTGGTAGTGGAGTGGATGTGGATTACGGGCCCAATTTGGAAAGTTTGGCCCCGTCCATAATTCAATAATCGCTGGACATCGCTGAATATTTGATGTAACACAGTACCATGGCAGTACCATGGGCACAGGAAATCTGTCCACAAAGCCAAAACTGAAAATGTGTTGTTTATTTAAAAAAGATTAGAATCTAAAAAAAAAAAGTATTGTTATTGTAAGTTTACTCTGTCTTAAAGTAAAAAGATTACTTTGCACACAGATAAGATGTAGAATATTGCCACTAAATATTGAAGATATATTATGTGAAAAATTAATATATGTGACGAATAGGTGAGGTGGAACTATGGTACATTATTATAATTTAAGTGGATTATTGATTACATATTATTTAGCTACAGACCAAATGAAGACAAATGTGGTGTATTGAAATGGATCCTATATTCTTAGCATAGCATTTATACTCCTTATTTCCACAAAAAGAAACTTCAAGTAATAAAAAAAAATTTAAAAAATCCTTTGATAAGACAGGAAAATGGTAAGAAATTTCAAATATTCGAAATTTTGCAAAACCTTGGATTCAGACCCATGACAAAAAACTAATTTTAGTGGCACTTCTCGTTTTAATAATTTAGTTATATCACAGTACATGCCCTAAACTAAATTTTTTATTTCTCATGGAGGGGGTGTTTTTATAGTTTTTATCTCTGCAGTCCCCTCTCAGCTTCAATCCCTGTTCTTTGGTCGATGAAAACTAGGGAGAACATGGAAAGTCCACATAAAATGACAGCCTAAATGGTCAGTGACACTATAAACCCTAAAACACTGAGAGCCACGGTATGTTACAGTGATTTGAAATGTCAGAATTATCTGCTGAGCCAGGACAGGCCTTGATGTATGCCGAAGCACCTTATTAAAATGTGCAGCTTTGCCTCAAAGAAATCTCTCAGCTGAAAACTGTCAAGTCATCATTCCTCTCCCTCTGAAACACAGGATGCCTTTGAACTCGGAGGACTGAATTATTGACAGTGACCGGCCCACTGTTTCCTCAGTTAACTCCACGCAGCTCACTTCATCGTGGCTGTGCTCTGCTGCAGAGGGCACGGCCATGTGTACACTGCGCCAGGAGAGGCTTCATAAATGATTTACCAGCTGGTTCTCCCTCGAAGCTCCAGAGGAGACACGGACAGAGCAACTCTTAGCCTCTGATGGAAGCGTTTGAGGAATGTTCGGCACACTAATCAGCTGCTCCTGATTGAACTCTGCAGAGTTTTTGTATGAAAACATGGCCAAAAGTCAAATTCTAATTAGAATTTGTTGGTGTTGAGAAAAGAAGACTAGAAAAGCACAAGCCGACACACACAGGTTGTGTGGGGAATAATATTGCCACTCTTTGGGAATGCCAGTGAGCTTTAAAATGTGAGGTAAACATCGTGTTATTATTTATCCAGAGTTGTTAGCCTTATTGGTTGAAAGCAAGCCATTTTTTTCTTATTAACTGTTCATTACACAACACTTTGTTCTAACTTTGCACTGTGATTGGCTGACAGGCACTGTAATGAGTGCCAGTTTCTCATGATATACTGTAGCCCTCCCTACTGCAGTGCCTCCCAAAGTGGGTATTACACCTTACAATGCCCTGAGGATGGGCCAAGGATGCCACAATATTGTTCTATAATATTTGACATTTCACATTCCACCACATAAAAACAGAGCAATTACATTCACTTTATATAGAACTAATAATGACCATTTCATGTTACCAATGCAAGTTTTATTTTGAAAGTGTAACCGGGTGTTACATATTTATTCTTGCTAACTTGCCTGTGCAGCATCGGGGCACTGAGCAAGCTGCAGTATTTGACGAGTTGGTAATGAGAGCATGTTTGCTATGGCACAGCAAGGACTGCTGACAGGACGGCTGATATTTGCACGTTGCCATAGTGAAGCAACACACTTTCTGGTGCACAGCAGTCCAAAATAGTGACTGTCAGAGCAAGTGATGGAAGGACTTGTCAGTATAAATAGAGCTAAATAAAATTCTGATACAGTCTGAGATGACCAAACCTGAGACAGCAAAAATTAACTTGTAATAAATACACTGTACACTGAAAGCTAATTGCTTTAATATTAATAAATAACAATAATGGAAGCCAGCTGTGAATGCTATCAACTGCAGTGGTGCCTAGTAAACCTAAGGTACACCTGCTTACAGACAGTGCTAGTTCAAATGTGTCTGTAAAAACTGCTGACTTGTTATTTGTTTTGCTGCTTAATAAAAAATATATGAATGATGTTTTTAACTGAAAAGGTTTCACATGTATGCTGGTCTTGTGGGAGAGGGGAGGGGGGAGGGGGGTATTACTACGCAGTGGTATGCAGAACTGTACTTACATACAATTTTGAGATGTCACTTTATACTTCTAATCAGCTATATTACATAGGAAAATGTTGTACTTTATATTATATTTTACTTTGTACAGATAAAGCTAAAAAAGCATGCTGTATAATAGGTTCATAATATCTCAGATTGTTGAAATAAAACCAGTGGTTTCCAATGTCTGACCCCTATAAAAACACTGTCTGTCTGTCCTGCTTACTTCTTTCACCCTCCAAAATAGACATTTTAATGATGTATACCCACAAGGTCTCAGTTTGGAAATACATGAAACAACAGCACCAAAGCCTACCAAAGTTCTTAACAGTTCAGGTTTTGGGAAGCCCCATGTTACAGGTTATTAAGTCTTTGTGGTTGGAAAGGGGTTGGGAAGTGAATAGTGGAAACAGCTCCCACCTGAGACCATAGAGCACCGTTCCATCAGGGTGCAGTCTGATCATCCGGTTCTTTACTGTCACCCCGTGGACGAAGGACTTCTTGTCATTAATGAAGTAGGTGTCAGGGACCCACAGCTGGTCTGCCACCCGGTTATCCAGAGTGAGGTTGAGAGGAATGCCTGTGTAGGAGAGGCGCTTGTCTCTCCAGGACTGCTGGAAGTACATGGTGATGGTGTAGTCCTGCGGGAATGACACAGGTTGAAGGGAAGGTTAGCATAACAACATGAACGGAACAATGACTCATAGATCTCTCCTGCCCTGTGAAATGACCTGTGTGTTGAGTTTGAGCTTCACATCTTCAGATTGTGACATGTGTGATTAGCAGATACTGAACAAAACTTCCTCTCATAAGTACAATTATTGCAAAAATTGTGTATCAGTATTAAATAACTTTTAATGGTTGGAATTTGTCCCTACCACGTTGCTGAAACTGCTGACATTAAGGTCCGGAATGATATTCATAGCGAAACAGATCTAGGCAAGATTTCAGTCATAGTCCTGGTGGATTTTACTGCTGGCTTTGACAACACTGACTATACAATACTGCTAGACAGACTGGAAAACCAAGGACTAAAACTGTTTGGTCTCAATCGGCCACTAACCATCCAAGTGGACCAACAACGTGGTTGTATGCCTGAGCTAACTAGTCAAGTATCAGTTTACATCCATGTCTGCCCAGATAATCGACATATAAAAGATGTACGTCCACTTCCTTCCACTGTACAAAAATGGGACAAAATATCCTAGATACAGCCGCAGGGTTGGCACCGCAGTCTCAAAGTCCTGCCCATACTCATGAGCACAGGGCTCAGCTGTCAATCATGATGTAAAACCCCTTTCTTATAGCTTCAAATAACTAATTAAAACCAAATTTATCAGAAAAACTTGAACATACATCAGCATGATAAGACCTACCTAAAATGACAGGAACTATCTTTGGGAAAAATGGGTTTGACGTGTACTTTTTCTCCTGACGTTATTAAATGTAAAGCCTCTCTATGAGCTGTAGGTGAAACTAGTCGCACTCTAACATATTGTTTGCAGTCACGTGATTCTGATGACGCTCAGAATGAGGCTGGGAGTGAAAGGCAGAATGGATGACATAGAGAGATGAAACTCATTGTGTCGTCCCAGTCAACGTGAGTGAGCTCTGTAATTAGCCAAAAACCTATTGTGAAGTCACAAAGACCTTTGACCTTTGAGTGATAAACGTTACCAATTCAGTGTCCGACCAACTGTGAAATATGGTCATACAATGTAATCAATTAATTCTCAAAGTGAACGTTTGTGCCAAATTCTAAGAAATTCCCTCAACGCGTTTTTTAAGTATTGCTTTTGCAAGAGACAACCTGAAAAACATAGCTGCCTTCACAGAGGCAAATACAGGGCAACAAGACAAGTTACGTAACGTGTTACATCACATACGTAACTTTACTAGTACGTAACATAACTGATGTAGGTATTTTAACCAAAACCATGATCTTTTCCTAAAGTGTGTTTATTATTGTTACCACTTCACTATGATGACAGTCCCCTGACTTTGTCCTTTCCTGCACTCCAGAGCTCATAATGCAGCACCTGTAACAGCCTTAAATGGCACAGAGAGAGCTTAAAATGCAACATACAAAAGATCTTAAAAGTGGCATGCTTTTCATACACCATCCCATAATATCATGTTGTTTAAGATTATAATCAGGCTTAGGCGATGTGAGTCAGTAGAGCAGGGGTATTCAACTACATTTGTCCAAGGGCAAGAATTGTTCTAAGCGGACACTGTGGGGGCGGCACTATCAAAACAAATAAGAATAAAATCAAATTAAAGGATTTATTATGTTTATTATTTTCATTTTCTTACAAAATTAATGTTATTTTTATTAGCCTATATCAGTCTAAAAAACATGTGAAATCCATAATGATACCTGAATACTAGAAAATCTTAGACCTTCACCACTGATGGTTCAAATCTGTAATTCTGGAAATGTAATGCAGACATATTAATAACCTTTAAACGGTTTCAACGCTGTTATATAGTTGCTGCATCATTGTGCATGTGACATTATATAACGCTGTAAATACATATATACTGACATATTTTCATCAGTGGGCATTCTGCAGGCTGGATGGCAAGCTTTGTGCCAGTTGAATAGCCCTGCAGCAGAGTTAGTCCAGTGAGAAAGTTTCAAGGTTTGGCAACACAAGTATTAAGCAGTAAGACAACAGTGTGTTTGTATTAGTGTTGCTGTGTGACAGTGCCTCAATAGTAGGGACCTTGTGTGTGAGAGAGAAAGAGTGTCTGTTCACAGTTGAGTTGTGTGCCATGATTCACAGTCCGGGCTGTCAGAGGGCAGAGTGCCGCAGCTTTCCATGCAGCCTGTACCTTCTTTTCAAAAATAACTTGTTCCAGCCGCAGCACAGACTGCTGAGGTGGATTATGTTGTGTAACGTCAGTTCTTATTAAGCAGCAGGAACAGTCACCGGCCTGCTCGCTCCTATTCTTTCCACTACTCCTTAGAGAGCTGGAGCTCCCTCCTTCACCTGCCCTTGAGTGGCTCCTGTCACCACATCTGCCTCAACCCTTCAACTGTCCCTGCTGCAGCCCTGTGGTCAGCACATCCACCCTCTCCCAAAGTCCACTGGAACCGCTGCTGCTCCTCCGCATCTTCATCCCATCATAATGTTATAACAGCTCATGTAATTTGACATAAGTGTCTGTTTTCCAGTCAGTGTTAGGACAACAATAAAACCTTGTATCTTCCACTTTTCTGAGTTGAATAATCTGACAGCTGTCTCCTGCACCACATGCTACATCACAGAACACCCAATAATTCTTTACAATGACTTGTAGAATGTCAATACTGGATGGTCAAACGAGTTTTACGTCTGATGAACTCAACAAACATCACATTTAAAAATAGAAGCCCACGATATTGATTTGCATCACCTGTAGCAGTACTGCTGGGAGCTCACCCATAACACTCATAAGTCAGGTATTGTAGTGGTACAGGGTGCAGTAGAAATTGTAATGCAAACACAATGCATGCATGCATGTTTTTTGTTTTATGTATTAGCGGTGTAACACAAAGCTACTGTCTGTATCTGCTGATTTCACAAAAAAATGTCTGTATTTCTATTGTATAACACTGGAAGTGTCATATACTGTATGTATGAGGTTATGATGTAACACCACAGCAACTGACTAGTTAATGAACCCTTTGACTCTGTGTAGGCTGGAGGAATGATGGACAGCAGGCTTTTGTCTCCTCCTGTCTAGCTACACAGCCTTCCATTGGCATAGCTCTCATAAAAAAATACAACACAACATACTGTGTTATGTTAAAGGTTATACAAATAAGATTCAAAACATTAATATAGCAGCAAACAACTACCTATGTAAAGATACAGTGTTACACTCCCTCTGCCTGTGTTGCTATCGCAGCCTCTCTGTGGTTTGTTTCCATTGGCGGTCTGCTCTGTGTTCAGCTGAATAGAGCCACTGAAACTGCTGTTTTTATCATCTACGGCTGTGAATTAAGGAGTTATTTCCACCAAACCAGAGTTGGTGATTGTTGGAACAGTGGAAAGACTTGGTGAGTTTTATTTGGTTTCTGTCCACTTTGAATGAGGTTATGATGGTATGACATTTTTGTCTATGGAGTGTGGTGGAGAACGATATTACGGTTGTTTCTGGCTAAACAAAAGATCTGTCTCTGTAGGGATTCTTTCCATAATGTTGTCGGACACAGAATAACAATCTGAGCCTGTCAGTGGCAAAAACACCAACTTTTAGTGGACTGACCCCATGGATTAGCTAACATTACACGGCAACCATTATAGCCTGTCAGAGCTATTTTGTCATCTAACTCTATGAATTAAGGGTTTATTTTGACCAAACCACGTTTATTGCTGGAAAGACTATGGAAAGACTAACAAAGATGGTTTTGGTGAGTTTTATTTTGTATCTGTCCAGTTTGAAGTGTGTTTTAGGGCCGTGGTGCCCATTGTTTTGGATTGATATGCTAATGCTCTAGTGCGACATCCAGTGACAAGTGAATTTTGTATGTATAACCCTTAAATATTATCTAAACTAAGTTTTTACAATAATCTGGATAAACTGTTACTAAACTGTGTCTCTTGCCCTTTTAGACTTGGCTGTATGTCACCATGTTCTCAGAATTTAACAGTTACTTTGTATAGAACAATTTAATAACAACCGATAGACCTAGCGGTCATAAAGTTTTCCTTTCAGGGATCATTGTTTGTGTTTTGTGTTTTTTTTAACACAATACTGGCCAGTATATAGTCGTAAAAATGTATTAACTCTCAAAAATCAATACGGTATCCGCCTCAGATCCACTATCAGGTTCTGTTATTTGTATTATTAATCTTTAAACATAAAGATTTAAAATTTTAATTGGGACAACAAATCCTGCAAACTAAACAAATTAAACATTTAAACAAGCAACTAGTGATGTTTTTCTTAGGAGGACAGTGTACAGTGTATGGTACAGTGCATACCCAGTATGTACCATACTGACTGACTGGTGATGTCAGGTAGCGCCTCCTGTGCTTGGCTCCAAACGTGGAGACAAAACGAGGGTAAAAAGAGGATTTTCAGGAGCTTTAACATGCTGTATTGTCTCTTTGTAGTGTTGTTGTTTTGCTGCCCTGCGAGCTGATGTGTGGTGTCTGAGCCTCAGGGAACATGTGTTTCTGCTGCTGTCCCTCGTTCTCAGACTGCATTTCAACAATACCACTGTACGGTGTGTGAAATGCATCGTGTCACAGCACATTAGGACGGCCTGCATGTACTCAGCATCACGGAGGCAAAACACTCATGCTCTCTCTTTCCAGACATTCTCAACTATCCTTTAAAGTAGAAAGCATTTTAAAAAATGTTTTTGTAGAACTGTCCTTACAGCATATTGCCCATTGTAACATTACAGGGCCTCTCCATATTAAACTGCCTTGATTTGTTAATATGCTGGCTGTATAGTAAAATGATAGTATTGTAAAACTTCCATTAATTGCCCGGGCTTATTTTTAGAGTAAAATGATAAAAGTTGTTCTACACTATTAATACATTTTTGATCAAATTAAGGCTAGCAATGTTCCATTCACACACACACCATTAACTGTATCTGTTCAACCTACTAAATTATCTGTATTTGTAACCCCACTCG